ATACCACTTCAAACCCTCATTTTCTCTACTTTTCTGCATTTAAATTCTATGTTATGTAATATAGTATGGATAAGATATGTCTGTTCTATGTTAGCTTTATGTCTGTTCTATGTCAGTTGTTAGTTTCTCAATTATATTTATTACATGGCTATTACACTAATTATAAAAAAAATTTGGTTAGTTAGCAAATTGACCCTTAAAAAAATTACAGACAGCTGAATTTGAAAATTGTACACTTATAGTTATAGGATGCACATTCAATAAACAATTATATAAAAGTAAATTGCAATTAAACAATATACATTTTAAATAGGGTTAGTTTGCTAGATAACAAAAAAATTAGACAAAAATTATAGAAACATCAATAAAATAGAAAAATAAAAATTTATCGTATACAACAATTGATATCCTTCACAACAATAATACTGCCACTAGATGTGGTTGCCACCAATCTTGAAAGTTCATAATTGCTACAAACTCTGTCCAAATTAAGTTAATAGATATCGAACTTCAAGTAATTCGCCATGGCAGTAATCATACTAGTCTTCCCTGTCTTAGGAGGACCATGTAGTAAATAGCCTCTTTTCCAGGTTATCGCCATTTTGTTGTAATGCTTCTTTTTCCCCCATAAAGTTATCAATATCATCCACGATTTTCTTCTTAAGCCTAGGGTCTATGACAAGTGTGTCAAATGTGGATGGATGTCTGAAATCCACAGGGCTCCACTTGTTCCCTTCATCCATAGAGGAGAGCTTGAGTACCTTACTGTCTTGCCTAATAGAGTTAGCTTGCTCACTAACAAAATCTAAGTATCGGTAGAGAATCGACTCCGTAACAGCTCTTGAGGGAAAAACGACCTCATGGTGATAGAGAATCTCTGAGTTGTTACATTTGTTAAACTCCACAGACCGATATATCCATCTAACGTTAAATCCTTCGAATTTGTCGACGACAGATTGATTTGGTTTTAATCTCAGAGTGTAGCTTGAAGAATCCTTGTGGGTAGTGATGCACAAGTCCTGCACTTAAGGTTATCGCCATAATTTTGGATGCTGTCATCATAAACTTATCCATGTCCATCTGGAAATAAAAAATAGAAAAGAAGAAGAGACCAATACTCACAAGCTCTTGGAAAATATCATAAATCAGCTTGCAAATGATCTCTTTGAAGAGATCAAACATATGTGGCATAGATATGTTATTTATATTTTGTTTAAATGCAATTTACCTTCGTATTAGTTTATCTATGTCAATTGGACTAAAAACCCCCAATAAATAAAAAAATCAATTACCTCTTCAAGCGATGAGTTTTAGACCTCGACGACGAATAGTGGCAGAGCTGAACAATTATTTATGGAAGGGTCATAACAATTTCTAACATTGTTAGAGGAAGGCACACAAGAAGAATTACTTTCTTTTCAGTTCTACCTCGCAAAACAAACGAACATAGCTTCTCATTCTCAGATAAAAACCGTCTGTCTCTCTTTCTTGTTTGCTTAATTTCGTTCGTTACTAGAAGAAAGTTTAGGATTTGTTGAATAGATTTGTGTATTGAAAGGGAGATAGAAAAAAAAGTGTTAAAAATTGAGTACGATTTTGACTCCCGACGTGGTACAAACTTTCAATTTGAGTGTCACAGCTTTGATCAAGGAGCAAACTGTGTGGATTTTGATGTTGTGCTCTTGATTAATGAAAGTCTCAGACAGTGGAATTGGGAAATTGAGATTGATCACCTTGGTTTATCTGAGACAAATGAAAGTTTCAGACTGCGAAGTTGGGAAATGATGAGTTTTAAGTATTTGTCTCTTCTTCTTTTTTTCAGATGGAGATGGATAAGTTTATGAAACAGCATCTAAAATTATGGCGATAACTTCAATTGTATGACTCGTTTTATCCATTGTACCTCCAGATGTAAAGGAGTACGTTTGGGATTTGTTATCCTACGCAGGGAACTACTTAATCAAGAAGGGTCATTTATTTGAAGTAATCGAATTTAAAGGCTGCTTAAGGAACCCGGTTTTTACAGACGCGAAGCCTTATCTCTCTACAGTTTTGAAGGTCTCCAACAGCGACAATAACCTCACTATCTTAAGACACAAGGATTCTTCAAGCTACACTCTGAGATTAAAACCAAATCAATTTGTCGTCGACAAATTCGAAGGATTTAAGGTTAGATGAATATATCGGTATGTGGAGTTTAACAAAGGTAACAGCACAGTGATTCTCTATCACTATGAGGTCGTTTTTCCCTCAAGAGCTGTTGTGGAGTCGATTCTCTACCGATTTTTAGATTTTGTTAGTGAGCAAGATAACTCTATTAGCAAGAGAGTAAGGTACTCATGCTATTCTCTATGCATGAAGGTAACGGGTGAGGTCCTGTGGATTTCAGACATCCATCCACATCTGACACAATTGTCATAGACCCTGGGCTTAAGAAGAAAATCGTGGATGATATTGATAACTTTATGGGAAGAAAGAAGCATTACAACAAAATGGCGATAACCTGGAAGAGAGCTTATTTACTTCCTGGTCCTCCTCGAAGAGGGAAGACTAGTATGATCACTGCCATGGCGAACTACTTGAAGTTCGATATCTATGAGCTTGATTTGGGCAGAGTTTGTAGCAATTATGAACTTTCAAGATTGGTGGCAACCACATCCAGTGGCAGCATCATTGTTGTGGAGGATATCGATTGTTGAACCGTAGGTTTCAACAAAAATAGAGATCTTGAGTTTGGACAGTCCGATGAAGTAAAGGTATGAACTCGATTCACAATTTTCTGTTAAGTTTCTAATTTTTGTAAAAACCCAAATATTGATTTGACTTGTTGATCAGGTGACACTTTCTGCACTGCTTAATGTTTTGGATGGATTGAATGTCAGTCATGCCGAGGCGAGGATCATAGTTTTCACAACAAACTACAAAGATAGAATTGATCAGGCGTTGCTTAGGCCAGGACGCATTGATTGTGAGTTCCACTTGTCTTATTGCACAACTACTACTCTTGAGATTTTGGTTTCCAAGTTTTTCAACATCACTACCCACAAGCTCTTGGAAGATATCATAAATCAGTTTGCAAATGATCTCTTGGAAGAGATCAAACATATCTGGCATAG